GGAGGCTGAACAACACACTGCTGAATCACGAGTGGGTCATGGAAGAGATTAGAAAGGAAATTCAAGTGTTCATGATATTCAACAAAAATGCGCACACAAATTACCAGCTCCTCTGTAACACAGTAAAGGCAGTGCTCAGAGGAAAATTTATATCTCTGAGTACCTACATTAACAAATTGGAGAGATCTGAAACAAACAACTTAATGAGACATCTGAACCTCCTTACAAAAGAACAAGAAGATAAACCCCAGTCCAGTAGATGGAAAGAAATAATTAAAATTAAATCAGAATTAAATGAATTAGAATCCAAAAAAAACATAGAAAGAATCAACAAAACAAAGAGTTCGTTCTTCGAAAAAAATCAACAAAGTTGATAGACCCTTACCAAATCTTATCAGAAAAAGATGAGAACACACCCAAATAAATAAATGGAAATATCACCACAGAAACAAAAAGATTCAGAACATTGTAAGCGAATACTTCTCAAAAATTTATGCTAATAAGTTTGAGAACTTGAAAGAAATGGACCTTTTCCTAGCAAATATTGACATGCTGAAAATAAACCAAGATGAGTTAAACCATTTTAACAGGCCCATAAGGAACATTGAAATAGAAACAGCAATAAGAGTCCTTCCATCCAAGAAAAGGCCAGGACCAGGTGGCTTTATAGCGGAATTCTACAAGGCTTTCAAAGCAGAGCTCACATCAGGACTCTTGCAACTCTTCAATGAAATTGAAAGAGGACGTTCACTATGGACCTCATTTTATGAAGCCATCATAACCTTAATCCGCACACCAGGGAGGGACTCATCAAAGAAAGACAAGTATAGATCCATTTATTTGATGACCTTTGATGCAAAACTTCTCAACATAATTTTGGCCAATCGACTTCAACAATTCATCCAAATAATCATACACCACAATCAAATAGGACTCATTTCATGGATGCAAAGTTGTTTGAATATTCACAAATCAATTAATATAATTCATCACATCAACAAGAGCAAGGATAAGAACCACATGGTTATCTCAATAGATGCAGAAAAATCATTTGACAAGATCCAACACCCCTTTATGATGAAGGTTTTGGAAAAATTAGGAATCCATGGAACATTCCCAAATATAGTAAAGGCTGTATATGACAAAGCTACAGCCAGCATTATACTTAATGGTGAAAAACTAAAGCCATTCCCTCTTAACTCAGGAATGAGACAAGGAATGAGACACTCTTCACTTATCTTCAATCCAGTATTAGAATGCCTAGCTACAGCAATAAGACAAGATACAATAAAGAGGATCCAAATAGGAAAAGAAGAAGTAAAACTCTCCCTCTTTGCAGATGACATGATCTTGTATTTAAAGATCCCACGTACTCCACTCCCAAATTATTCAAACCGATTCAAAATTTTAGCAAATTAGCAGGGTATATAACCCTCAAAAATCAATGGCTTTTCTGTATGCCAACAATGAGAAAAGTGTGGATAAAATTAGGAAAACAAATCCATTCGTAATAGGCCCACAAAAAATAAAATACCTAGGAAATAGCTTAACCAAAGAAGTGAAGGACATCTATGATGAAAACTTTAAAAACTTGAGAAAGGAAATCAAAACAGAACTTAGAAAGTGGCAAAAACCCCCATGCTCCTGAATTGGAAAGATCAACATCAATAAAATTACAATACTTCCAAAGGTTATTTACAAATTCAATGTGATACTTATCAATATCCCAACCTCAATCTTCAAGGAAATAGAAGAGGCAATCCAAAATTCATATGGAACAATAAAAGACCCCGAATAGCTAATACGATCCTCATCAGAAAGAACAGTGTTTGAGGAATATCAATACCTAATTTCAAACTCTACTACAAAGCCATATTAATTAAAACAGCTTGGTACTGGAACAAGAACAGACTTCAAGACCAATGGAATAGAATTGAAAACCCAGAAGTGAACCTACATAGACCTATAGCCATCTAATTTTCAATAAGGGAGCTAAAAAAATAGAATGGAAAAAAGACAGCCTCTTCAGTAAATGGTGATGGCAAGTTTGTTTAACTACTTTTAGAAAATTAAGCTAGATTCTTATATATCATTCTGCACCAGAATCAACTCCAAATGGATCAAGACCTCAGAGTCAAAGCACACACTCTGAAAACATTACATGATGGAATTGGAAAAACTCTAGGTCTCCTTGGCATAGGCTGAAATTTTCTTGATAGAGGCCCAGAAATACAACAAATCAAAAAAGGTTGGACAAATGGGATGGCATGAAATTGCAGAGTTTCTGCATGGCAAAGGACATAGCTTGCAAGATCAATAGAAAGCCCACGGATTGGGAGAAGTTCTTCACTAGCCATACAATGGACAAGGATCTCACATCTAAATTATACATGCAACTCAAAAAATTAAATCCCCCAACAACACATCTTCAAAGAAACAACTGCCCAATAAATAAGTGGGCTAAAGACTTAAAGAGAAACTTCTCTGAAGAGGAAAGAAGGATGGCCAATAGACACATGAAGAAATGTTCAACCTCCCTATCCATAAAAGAAATGCAAGTCAAAAGAATATTGAGACAGGGGTTATACTCTGGGGGAGGGACATACAAAGCAATAAAGAAATAATCTTATAAATGCGTTAGAAACAAATGCATGAAAGAAAAAATAAACATTTGAATACATATCTTTGGGTTCATTTCCCTAACATCACCTTATCTGACCTTTTCTGCTTGACTCAGACATATACTATATATTGCATATAAGGGAAACCATGGGACCTATGTTTCTTTGGGCTTGGCTTACTTCACTTAATATAATTTTTTTCCAAGTCTTTCCATTTCCTAACAAATGGGGCAATGGCATTCTTTCTGATGGAGGCATAGAATTCCATTGTGTATATATACTACATTTTCTTGATCCATTCATCTACTGAGGGGCATCTGGGTTGGTTCCATATCTTTGCTATAGTAAATAATGCTGCAATAATCATAGTTGTGCTGGTAGCTTTATTGTGGTCTTGTATGTGAACATTTGGGTAAATGCCCAAAAGTGTGATTCCTGCTTTCAATGCAATTGATGTCGGTATAATTTGTGGAGGGGAAGGGGAAAAACAAGTCGTTTAAATAAGGATACAGGTGGACTAGTTTCAACAATGAGTAGTACAAGTTGTTCTGTCGAAAATGAACTTTACAACTTTGGTGGGGGGGCGGGGGAAGGATGGGTAGGGATTGGAAGGGGAAACAAAGAGGAGGCTACAATGCTTGATAAGAAATATACTCATTATCTTGCCCATGTAATTGTAACCACTCTGTACAGTATTTTCACAATAAAAAATAAATAAAATTAAAAAAAATCAACATTGAGATACCACCTCACCCCAGTTAGAATGGCTAAAATCAAGAACTCTAATAACAGCAGATGCTGGAGAGGATGTGAACAGAAGGGAACCTTAATGCATTGTTGTTGGGAGTGTAAACTTGTTCAACCACTTTGGAAAGCAATATGGAGGTTCCTCAAGAGACTCCACATAGACATCCCCTATGACCCAGCAATCCCACTTTCAGGCATTTACCCAAATGTTTACAAACAAGACCACACTAAAGCTACCAGCACGACTATGTTTATTGCAGCATTATTTATCATAGCTAAGATATGGAACCAACCCAGATACCCCTCAGTTGAGTTGATGAATGGATCAAGAAAATGCAGTATATATACACAATGGAATTCTATGCCTCCATCAGAATGATTGATATTGCCCCATTTGTTAGGAAATGGAAAAATTTGGAAAAAAATATATTAAGTGAAGTAAGCCAGGCCCAAAGAATCTTAGGTCCCATGATTTCCCTTATTTGCAAGAACTATATTATGTCTGAGTCAAGCAGAAAAGATCAGATAAGTTGATGATAGGGAAATGAACCCTAACGTATATATTCAAATGTTTTTTTCTTTCATGTGATTGTTTCTAACATATTTATAAGATAATTTCTTTGTTGCTTTAATGTCCCACCCCATGGTATAACCCCTGTTTTCACTGTATTTGATGTCGGTATAATTTGTGGAGGGGAAGGGAAAAAACAATTCGTTTAAATAGGGATACAGGTGGATCCATTGCAACGATGAGATATACATGTCATTATGTCGAAAAAGAACTTTACAACTTTGGTGCGGGGGAGGAGAATTGAGTGGAGAGGTGGGGGTAGTATGGAAAAGATGGGAAGGGAAAACAAAGTAGGAGGCTACAATGCTTGATAAGAACTGTATTCATTATCTTGCCCATGAAATAGTAACCCGTCTGTACTATATTTTCACACACAAAAAAAATTATGTACGACCCCACCAGGATGAGTTCCCAAAATGGCATTGGCTGCACTGGTTGACACCAAGCTGCTAAGGTAGGAAAGATGGCTTTTGAACTCCAAGTGTCAGCAGATAAGTTGTGGGCTACTCTGCTGCACTCTCTGAAGAAGAGCTTCTGCTGGTTTTGGGTCCTCCCCATCACTGCATGGGTCTCCTTTACAGCACACAACAGATTTGAAGCGTTTACCAGAAAGGCGGTGTTCCTGAGTGGAAAAAACTAGCTTCTGAGGAAAGTTATTTGTGAAAGCCAGCATGACCACAGAAGGAAGTCCTTTTGAAGAAAGTATGAACAATCAGAATTTACCCAACTGGAGCCGTGAGTGTGTTGACGATCAACTTAACAACATGGATTGAGGTGGTCAAAAGAAGAAAGCAAATAGTTTATCAGAAAAGAGTAAGAAAAGTTTGCTTTAGGCTTGTTCAAATTCCTGACTATATTACCAAATCCAAGACCTTGTTGGAAAAAAAGAAAGATCTGAGAAAGCTGAGCATCTTACTTAACATCCAATAGTTCACCTTAAAGAACAAGAAAAATCAAACATGAAATATCTCCAAAAAATCCTTGCTTGAGAAAATGAGGAAGAGGATGTTCAGACTATGGATTCAGCTGTGGGATCTGGTTCTGTTGCTGGGAGCATGTCTCTAAACATAGATGTGCACTCTGAAACTTGAGATACCATGGAAGTAATCTGGGGTATGACATATCATATGTAGCTCACCTCTAGAAAGTGCTGGGTCAAATTTGAAGAAAGAATATTTTAGAGTGCCATTAAGTTTCATGATTGCAAATTGGTTACCACAAAGATAACAATAGTTAGTAGCACTGAAATTTGTTACTACATTCTGGTCATGGCACCAGTTTTATCTCTCCATCACCAACTTATGCCACACCAATGTCAGACCATTTATTGGCATGATTAAATGTCTCAGAAATATCCTGCCCAAAGGTGAAACCAGCTCCTCAGGGAAATATACCCCAACCACTACCATCATCTGGATCTGACCACAGCAAGTCACAGACCCTGAAGGGGAACTTCCTGGAGATCAAGTGCTCTGATGTGATCCAGTGTTTCTATCAATGGTGAGAGAACACCATGTAGACATATGGAATGCCCATCCACCAAGGCAGTAAGATGAAGAGCCAAAAAGATCTGTAAAGTATTTCCAAACATTTGCATTTCCATATTTCCCTAAACACTCATCATAGAAATCATACATTTGTGTGCTCTTATGATTTCCTCAAAGAATGGTGAACCATTCATGGTAATGTACCTTCAGAACTACAAGCAGTGTGACTGTTTCAAGTAAATAATACCCTTTGTCAACATAAACAAGTAATTTGTATCTGGTGATTTTTCCACCAACTCTAAACAGTTCCATGAGACTGAAATTGCTCATGCACATCTCCACAGAAATGACTGTACATGGAACCTCTTATAAATGGGATTCTTTTGTAAGGATTTCTTTAGTCTTCTCACAGGGACTCTTGACCTGGGACTCGGTTAGCTGCTTGCACTCATTCAGCTGTTCAATCCCCTGGTCCAGGTTCTTGGTGAACACATTCATGTCCATGATGCCACATGCCCAAATGGGCTACTGCTCCATGCTACTCCTGCACCACATCTGCCCACAGGCCACATGCACACACTGCCATCGGTTCCCCTGGTACTTCTAGGGGCCCTGGTGGGCTGGGCACTGCCCCTAATTCTGCCCCCTCACCCTGGCTCTCTGCAATGCTCCACTGCCTGCTCCTGTGTCTCCTCCATTCGCCCAAGCTCCAGAGCTCTGCTATCTGTAATGGCAAGATATGCTACAATATTTAACAAAGGAAGCATCTTTTAGTCTGAGAATTTGGCCAGGCATTGAGGACAGGGGTCTATTTTGGTCATGTCAATGGAGCTCTTTATGAACTCCTATGCAGATGCCTGTTCTGAACCATTTTCAAACCTGTTGTGACTTTATGTGAATGACTAAGTATCATCGGTTGTGGGGGCACTGAAAATAGCAACCTCCAAAGTTCAGAATCTGTACCCAGGAGATTCTCAGTTCTTGGCCCACGCTCCTTCTTCCATTGCTTTCCAATATCCCTTTCTGAAATATAAGCACTGACAAAATGCTGACAAGTCAACATAGCTGGTGATGCAGAAACACTGAATTGGGCACTGTGGAAAATGATCTGACATCTTTAGCTTTTGGACATGTGGATATATATTCCTATATTTTGACAATCGGATATTTTTAAGTTACATTTTCTGTGGATCCTTAGAAATTCCCAGTAGAACCAGTTCCCATGTGTTCCCAGTGATGATCATTTTGGAAATGTACTCTTGTGTAGGCTTTCCACTTTTCTTGTTTCATTTCTTCCTACTTGCTCACTCATGGTTTCTGGGATCCCTTCTTAAAATACAGGAATTTTTGTCATAGCTCTGAATTTATTGAAAGGCACTGAATTTAGTGAAATTCAGAGGAAGGACGACAAAGTGTTACTTTACCCCTATTCTGTATCAACTGGGTCTTATCCTTCTCCAAATTATTTGCACGTATGTATATAGGTTGGGTAACATAATGAAATTAATGTTGCTCAGGCATTTTTTATATTTTTATTGTTAAAAATAGTATACAGAGGGGTTACAGTTACAAGAGTAAGGTAATGTGTACATTTCCTATAGAGCATTGTTACCTCTGCCTTTGTTTTGCTCATACCATCCCTTCACTCCCCACCTCCCCAAATCCCCCATCACCCCCCAAATTGTAAAGTTCATTTTCAACATAGTGTCTTGTACATATTATTGTTAAAATAGGTCAATCTGTATCCTTGTTTCAGCATTTTGTTATTTCCCTTCCATTCCCCAAATTAGAAAAATGTATACACAAGATTCAGGCACCCATGTCAAATACAGTGAAAGCACGGATTATACCATGGAGGAAAGACACAGTAGAGAAACAATAAAAATCACATAGTACATTTTAGATATATTAAAAACAATAGCAAGAAAGGAAAAACAAGTTGTGTCACTATCTCGGGGTTCATTTCACTAAACATCATCTTATATGATCATATATACATAGCTTTTGATTTTTTCTGCTTGTCCAAAACTTATACTAGTTATGGCAAATAAGGGAAACAATGGGACATGTTTCTTTGGGCCTGGCTTAATTCACTTAATTTTTTTTCCAAGTCTTACCATTTCACAACAAATAGGCCTATGTCATTCTTTCTGATGGAGGCATAGAATTCCATTGTAGGCATAGATAGATAGATAGATAGATAGATAGATAGATAGATAGATAGATAGATAGATAGATAGATAGATAGATAGATATAGATATAGATAATATTTTCTTTATCCATTCATCTACTTAGGAGCATCTGGTTCTTTACCTTAGCTATGGTAAATAATGCTTCGATAAACATAGTTGTGCTGGTAGCATTAGTATGGTCTTGTTTGTGATCATTTGGGTAGATGCCCAAAAGTAGGATTGCTGGGTTATCGGAGAGTTCTATGTGGAGTCTTTTGTTTCAAAAGTGGTTGAACAAGTTTACATTCCTACCAACAATGTAGTAAGGTTCCATTTGGGCCACATCCCCTTCAGCATCTGTTGTTATTAGTTTTCTTGATTATAGCCATTCTAACTGGGGTGAGGTGCAATCTCAATGTTGTATTGATTTGCATTTCTTTTAGGGCTAGAGAAATTGAGCATTTCTTCAAGTGTCTTTTGGCCATTCGTATTTTTTGTTCAGAGAAGTCTCTCTTTAATTCTTTAGCCTTCTTGATAACCAGGAGGTTGTTTCTTTGAGGATTTATTGTTGGACGATTCAATTTTTTTATTAATAACTTTTGTATCATGAAAATATCATACAGACGGGTTACAATTACATGAGCAATGTAATGAGTACATTTCTTATCAAGCATTGTTGCCTCCTCCTTTGTTTCCCTTTACCATCCCAAACCACAATACCTCCTCCCCCCAGCCCCGCCAACCCCAACACCAATCCTCACCAATTTTGTAAAGTGTGTTTGTCACTGTAGCATCTTGTACATTTTCATTGTTGCAATGGGTCCTCCTGTATCCCCATTTAAACAATTTTTTCCCTTCCCCTCCCCAAATTATACCAACATCAAATACAGTGAAAACAGGGGTTATACCATGGGGGAGGGACATAGAAAGAAACAAAAAAATCCTCTTATAAATATGTTAGAAACATAGCAAGAAAGATAAACCATTTGAGTCCTTATCTTGGGGCTCATTTCACTTAAAATCAACTTATCTGACAGTTTCTGCTTTTCTCACAGTAAAAACCTGGAAAAGGAAATCAAAAGAGAACTTTCAAAGTGGAAAAACCTCCCATGCTCCTGGACTAGGAGGATCAACATCGTGAAAATGGCAATACTTCCCAAGGCTATCTACAAATTCAATAAGACATCTGTCAATATTCCAACCTCATTCTTCAAGGAAATAGAAGAGGCAATCCAAAAATTCATATGGAGCAATAAAAGACCCCGAATAGCAAAAACGATCCTTAATAGAAAAGCGCTGGAGGAATATCAATACCAAATTTCAAACTCTACTACAAAGCCATAGTAATCAAATCATCTTGGTACTGGCACAAGTACAGACCTCAGGACCAATGGAATAGAATTGAAAACCCAGAAATGAACCTATGGCCATCTAAACTTTGATAAGGGAGCTAAAAATTAGAATGGAAGAAAGACAGCCTCTTCAGTAAATGGTGATGGAAAAATTGGTTAATCACTTGTACAAAACTAAAGGATTTAATTTTTTGAGTTCTAAGTTTATTTTAGATATGAAGCCCTTGTCTATTATATGGCTAGTGAAGATTTTCTCCCAATTCATGCGTTTTCTATTGATATTGCTTGCTATGTCCTTTGCAATGCAGAAGCTCTGAATTTTCATTGAATCCCGTTTGTCCAAGCTTTCTTTGATTTATTGTGTTTCTGGATCCTTATTAAGAAAATTTCAGCCTGTGGAGTATAGAGTTTCTCCTATTTTTTCCTGTAATATCTTTAAAGTCTTTGATCCATTTGGAGTTGATTCTGTGCAGTATGATATATAAGGATCTAGCATTAGTTTTATACAGGTGTTTAACCAGTTTTGCTAGTACTATTTACTGAAGAGGTTGTCTTTCTTCCATTCTATTTTTTTAGCTCCCTTATCAAAGATGAAGTGACTGTAGGTGTGGGGACTCATTTCTAGGTTTTCACTTCTATTCCATTTTTCCTCGGGTCAGTTTTTTTGCCAGTCCCCAGCTGTTTCGATTACTATAGATTTGTAGTAGAGTTTGAAATTTGGTATTAATATTCCTCCTTACTTTCTACTAAGGATTATTTTTGCTATAAGGGTCTTTTATTGTTCCATATGAATTCTTGGATTTCTTCTTCTATTTCATTAAAAAATGAAGTTTGCGTATTGGTAGGTATCACATTGAATTTGTAGGTAGCAATAGTCCCAAAGGCTATCTACAAAGATTTCTTATCTTTGTCTTACCTACTCAGTCTGAGATTTCATTTCCTAATAAGCTCAATTCTGATATGTGGCCTGTCTTAGAAGAAGAGATGGTCCATCTGTGTGTTCAAATCACAGTTGCTTTAGGATGTTGAGATTTGGACCTAGTTTTAAGAAATAAAACTGTAGGGTTGGAAGGTGGCTCAGTAGTAGAGTGCTTGCCTCAAATTCATGAGGCTCTAGGTTTGATTCCTCAGCACCCACATAAGCAGAAAAGGCTGGAACTGGGGCTGTTGCTCCAGTGGTAGAGCTCTCGCTTCGAGCTGAAGTGCTGATGGCCAGTGCCCAGGCCCAGAGTTGAGGCCTCATGATCAACAAAGAAGAAGGAGAAGAAGAAGGAGGAGGAGAAGGAGGAGGAGGAGGAGGAGGAGGAGGAGGAGGAGGAGGAGGAGGAGGAGGAGGAGGAGGAAGAGAAGAAGAAGAAGAAAAGAAATAAAATGTGAAGATAGTTTGTACGTATGGTTACCAAGTTTCCATCAAATTAAGGAAATGCCAAAGGAGATAAAGCACAAGAACTAAAGAAACTATGATCATTCAGAACTTGTACTTTACGGAAAAAAATATGTAAACCAAGAATTGAACCAACAGTTGATTTTAGAAAAGGAAATCTGCGTTTTGTTTTGTTTCATTTTTCAGTCATGGGGCCTGAACTCTGGACCTGGGTGCTGTCCCTCAGCTCTTCAGCTCAAGGCTAGTAGTGCTCTACCACTTGAGCCACAGTGCCACACTCAGCTTTGTCTGCTTATGTGGTGCTGAGGAATTGAATGCATACAAGGCGAGCACTCTACCACTCCCAGCCTCAAAATCTGCATTGTTGTTAAAAACTTGTCTTTCTAAACTGAAATTACATCTTTGTATGCAGCCCTGAAAGCAGAATCAATTCCAAATGGATCAAAGCCTCAAGGTAAAAGCAGATACCCAGAAAATATTACAGGGAAGAACACGACAAACACAAGGGTTCCTTGCCACAGGTTTAAACTTCCTTAATACCGTTCCAGAATCACAACGAATCAAAGATTGGATAAATTAGACTCTATTAAACTGTA